TCTATTCTGAGTCATTTGCCTCTCCCAAAATGTGAACTTTAAACTACTAAGAGAGACTCAAGGTCTAGGTTCGACCCTGCAGTGAGGCCTGAGTATCTCAACACAGAAGATTCGGACTCCCTAAGGAACATCGGGTTCCTTACCCTTGGAAGTACAGTCCTCAGTACAGAGCAGGATTTGTCTTGGATATAAGTGGTAGATCCTTGAAAAATGAAAGCACATTCCCCAGAAGTGCCAAGAGTCTGTGTTCTTTCCTTCTTCCAAATCACAGTTCCAGAGAAATGCATGGATTGGTGGGATAGTCACAGCTGTCACATCTGGTGGCCCACAACATTGTGCAATATTAAATAATGTATAATTCTCTTAATTGTATGTGCATGTGTCTGTATGTATTTTTTAATATTTTTTATTTTATGTGTACAAGTGTATTGCCTGCATGTATGTGAGTGCACCCGTGTCGTACAATGCCTCAGAGGTCAGAAGACAGCTTCGGATTCCCTTGTTACTGGAGTTAAGGACAGCTCATAGCCGCCATGTGGGTGCTGGGAATCAAACCTGGGTCCTCTGCAAGAGCAGTCAGTGCTCTTAACCGCCGAGCCATCTCTCCAGCCCGTAATGTATTTTTCTATTGTCATTTTGAATGCATTTTGGTCAAAGTAGGAGGCATAATTCATTGAAAATGTTGTGTTGATTTTAACACTCAAGTATTTAATATATAGTCCATAATTAACTTTGCCCTGGATCCACAAGTGTCAGAGCTGAGATGCTTTTATTGAACATACAGTACAAATTTGATTATTCTTCCTGTTGTAGGTAGCTTGAACTTAGTTCTGTGATGCCCTCTCAGTGACACTGTGACTATGAAACTGGCCTCTCTGTGTAGGGATTTCCTTCTTTGTCCTGACCATTGCAACTTCATTTTATTTTTGCACTGATTTATCTTCTGTTGCTATACTGATGCAATAATCTACATGACTGAATTCTATGCATGTCTGTAAACAGTTGTAATTGTTTTAGAACTGAAAACGCTAAAAGAAAAAGAGGGAGGAAGGGTAGAAAATGGAAGAAGCTACGAAGGAAAGAGTGTCAGGGTAGGGATAACAGTGTAGAGCAGAAATTTGAATTGAATTCTGTCTTTGATTTAATTTTATATTCTATATATTGCATTTTCAATGTGTTTTTATAAGCTAATATTGTCAAAACATATTCTCAAATATATAAAAGTATTTTTCCAGATATATTAAAATGTCAGTGTAATTACATTATGAGAAAAAAGTCTATTAAACATTTACCCTTTTGAGGACCACTACCATAAATGTTTGTTGGTCTGCACAGGAAACCCTAGCCTTTTTTTTTTCACACAGAAATACATGTACTCAATAACCATATTAAAAGATCCCAAGCTCCATGAAAACAGCAAGAAACTTTCTTTTTCCGTTAGAGGTAAAACCAAAGATTTATAATATGTGACAGTGGAAATTGGAACTAATGTTGATAGAATATTGGGTGAATAACGTGCATATCCTTTGACACCGCAATCATACTTCCAGAGATCTATTACAGGTAAACTAAACTGAGAAGTATGCAGGAAAACCTGACACAACACAGTGTGTGTGTGTGTGTGTGTGTGTTCATATGAGTGTAGGCATTAACCTGTCTTGGAGCATGTGTAGAGGTTAGACACAACGTCAGGTTTTAGTCCTCACCTTCCACCTTCTGTACAATGAGATTCTTGTAGTTAGTCACTGCATTTGCCGAGCTAAATGGCTCATGAGCGTCCAGGGATTCTCCTGCGTCTACCCCCATCTTTCTCTAGGAGTGCTGGAATGTTAGACATGCACTTCTGTGTCCAGCTTTGCATAGATTCTGGGGATCTGAACTCAGTCCTCACACTGGCACAAATGCTGTACCCACTAAGCCATCTCCCTAGCCCAACTGTGATTCTTTTTATTTATTGAGCTTTTGTACATTTCATACAACAGTTCTTAATCAAATTTAGACCCCCTCCCCACACCCATACTTCCACACTCCCACCTCCAGGCTTCACGCATTCTGCTGTACATGTTAAGTCCCATCCAATCAAGCATTTTACCCAGATGTCCTTCGGTGCGGTTTCATCCACTGGAATCTATTCACCCATCTAGAGAGCTTAAAGATGGTTTACTCTCCCTCACCTTAGTCATTTTAAATATTTGATTTTGTGTAATTATCGAATTCATTACTTCATCAATTGATTCATTCAACAAAATATTTATAAAGTACTTTTGATGTTCCAAATTAAGCAATAAAGAGTAAACGACAAGGGGCTGGAGAGACGGCTCAGGGGCAGCTCACTGGCTGTTCTCACAGAGGACCCAGGCTCAATTCCCAGAACCCATATGGTGGTTAACAGCCATTAACTGAAGCCAACACTCCAGTTCCAGGGGAATCTGATGCCCTCTTCTGACCTCCACAGGCAGTGCATGACACAGGTGTGCTTGTCATTAATGCAGGCAATACACTCCTACACGTAAAATAAAAATAATAAATTTTTTAAAAAGCAAATGACAAAAAAATTTAGTAAAAAATGTACATTAAAAAAGAATTAAGAGGGGCTGGAGAGATGGCTCAGCAGTTAAGAGCACTGGCTGTTCTTGCAGAAGGCCCAGGTTCGAATCCCAGCACCCACATGGCAACAACTGTTGGTAACTCCAGTTCCTTCCAGGGGACCTCACGGCCTCTGGTGCACTTACCTACATGTAGGCAATACACGCATATACATAAAATAAAAATAATAAATAAAATATTTTTAATTTTAAAAAAAGAATTAAGAAATTAAGGTGGAGAGCTGGAGAGATGGCTCAGCAACAAGAGCATATACTGCTCTTACAAAGGACCAGAGTTCGGTTCCCGGCACCCACATGACCACTAACAGTCATCTGCAACTCCAGTGCGAGGAATTGACACACTTTTCTGGCCTCCACAGGCATTGCACAACACATTGCACTTATATATACGTGGGCAAAACAGTCATACACATGAAAAAAAATTAAAAATAAATCAATCAAAAAATCGTTTAAAAAATTAAGATGGGCCAAAATACAGAGAGGGGAGATCTGTGATTATATATACTAGTTTTTATCATCTTTAGTTGTTGATGTCACCATGAAGAAGTTGGTGGGTGATCAGCATGTATGGCATGACTATAAGCCAGACAAGCTCCTTAAAACAATAGGGGGAGCTATGATGGTTTAGCCTACAGTGACCTGGGAAGGTATGAGTAAAGGATTGTCTAGATTAAGTTGGCCTAAAGACGTGTCTGTTGGTGACTGTTTACTGTTAACTGCTGTGGGATAGCCAGCCCATTGTGAGTGGCACCATCTTCTGAGGCTGGGTCCTGGCTCCTGTGAGCAGAGAAAGCAAACTGAGCAGCGTGCATGTGTTCACTCCTCTCTGCTCTTGCCTGTGGGTGTAATGTGACCAGCTGCTCCTAAGTTCCCTTTCTCCCCTCGGTTGCGTTTTGTCAGAGTAGTTTATTCCAACAACAGAAATGAAACTAGGACAAGCATAGCCTCTCTCTCTCTCTCTCTCTCTCTCTCTCTCTCTCTCTCTCTCTCTCTCTCCCCCCCAGTACCCCCCAGGAGTACTTGAATATGTGAGTTTCCAGCTTTCTGCTCTGGCCACCTCCCGCTGTCCTGCCTCCCCCCATGACCTCCATGAAAGACTCTTATTCCTCGGGAACTAGAAAACAAACTCTTCCTTTATAAGTTCATTGGCCGTAGTATTTTATAGCAGAAACAGGAAGGTAACGAATACAATTGCCTAGGACAGCTGAATGCCACGCTCCTTGGGAACTAGCTTTTGTTGGGCCCAACGTCTCCCCGAACAACCCCATACTGCTCCCTGGAAGAGCTTTCAGGGAGGCAACACAAGCCCCTTCACAGACAGGCTGCGTCCAGAGTGATGCAAAAGTGCTTTATCTGGAGTCAGGAGGAGGGACAGGGAGGGGCTAAGGTAGGAGGGTCATCCAGCAGGGAGTGAGGTCCAGGGGCGGGGTGTTCCAGGGAGGTCACGGCATTGTGTTGGTGTCGGGGCAGGATCAGCAGGTACATTCATGAGTGGCTGTTGCACAAGGAGAAGAACAGAGGTGAGGGGCAGATGCCAGTCAGAGATCGTCCATCCCGAAGATTTTGTGTAGTCCTTGATAAACAACCATGGCCTTATGGTCCTGTCCTGTCTCCTCCCTCTGTGACCTGTCGGGTCCCTGAG